AATGCAAGTTTAATAATTAAGATGTAAGTTATAGACTATAAAAACACGTTCATCTCAAACCCATGTTGGAGTCAGATTTGGGTTTGTCTACCCCTGACACACAGAGCTCTCAATAAAAGCACCTATAATATAATCATAATCATAATCATAATCATAATCATAATCATAATCATAATCATAATCATAATCATAATCAAGCTATAATATAATCATTCAGTGGTTATGTGTTCCTGAACACTGACACCCTGAGCAGCCCCTAGGTGAGGCAGGGGACGGTGTCCCTGTGTCTGTCCCTGCAGAGCAGTCCCTTGGGTGAGGCAGGGGATGGTGTCCCTGTGTCTGTCCCTGCAGAGCAGCTCCATGGCGAGGGCTGCGAGCCTCAAAACCCTTCAGGTCCATCAAGCACATGGCTCCTGCCTGAGGGCACCTCCATGCCATCCTGTGCTTCTGGTCAGAACCAAAACCCGAAGTGATTTGGGGCTGGGTTTTAGTCTGGCCTCGAGCAGGGTGTCATCCCCAAGGAGGTGCTGGAAACCCTCACTGACCCAATGAAATCTGAGTGCTCCAGGCGAGCATCCTCAGCAGAGAATGAAATGGACTCTGCCCCCACTCTTTAAATAAGATTTTTAATAATATACAAGGCCTCTGTTAGACATACATTAAAAAGCATGAAGAACTGCCCCCACCACAAACACAAGTCAGTGTGAAGCATTTTATGGGCTCAGTCAGTTTTAGATCAGTGTAAAAATAAAGCTTTATTCTTGGTGAACAGAGCAGCATAAATAACCAAAGTTATTCTTCAGGGAGAAGTGTGAAGATGCAAGCAAAAGAAGCCTGAGATAAGAAAAGCCACACAAAACCAGAATTTGTCTTTTTAATACCACCTGTATTTACAGTATTTAGAATATAGAAACATATATAGCTGTGGTGCATGAGGCAGAAAGGTACTTTGAGGAAGCTTTCTGCCTGAGAACTTTCAAAGATTCGTAAACAGATATTAGAGAGGATATTTCAGTCTTAACTCCTATTGTTAAAGAAATTAAGTCATTCCAACAAATATCCTTAACACCTTTCCATTAATTTGATATAAACAGCGCACTCTCCTGAGACTTATGAGGACCTTGAAGAACTTTCTCCTTGCCTCTGTAGTGCTAAAGCCTTTTCTTTCCAAGATGTGCTGGGAATTGATTTCTTCCATAGATTCTGTTTCCATGCACTTCATTCAGTATGGGGAGTTAGCAAGCTGCTTCCACAGCAGGACTGAAGCTGTGTGCCCACACAGACCTGCAGCACAGCATTGCTGTGGCCAGTGTTTGCCCATGAGGTTTGTTTTGGTTTTGCCAAGCCTCAGCACTGGAGCCTGTCCAGCTTGCTCTGTCTGAGCTGCCTCAGCTTCACTTTAATTTGCTTTAGCTGTAACTGCAGTTTTCCTCCTGACCAAGTGCCTGTGGCTATTTTGGCTTGTTTTGCTCATTGCTGTATGGTACTGCTGAGGTTTTGTGACTGCACAGGAGTGGTTCAGAAGGCGAATTCCACCTTGGTGAGGCAGCAGTGGCTCTGGGATGGCAGATCCCATGTGTGGTGTAGGGGAGTACAGCATGGGTGACAGGAGATGGGGCACAGGTTTGGCTCTGGAGACCCCGGAGCTATAAACAACTCAGCAGTGTCAGATAAAGAAATGCAGACCTGAGGCTGGACAAAACTGATTCTAGGGCAGCAAGTAGAACAAAGAAACAGTACCTAGCATATGTATAAGGCTCTGCTCTGTCCTTAGCAAATTCGGATCTGATGTAGAGATCAGACCACTTTAGAAAGAACAGAGATGTAAATGCATGTTAACTGACATGCAAAAATGCACCCAAATAGATTCTAGAGTGAGAAAAAAGAAACTATCAACACAAACATCAAAATTTTCCTTGCAAAGAACAAAAATTCATAATCCTGCCAACTCCAATACCTGAGCAAAAACAGCCACCCACAGCCCTGAAAGGGCTGGGGAAGAACAAACATTTCGCCAGGAGGAGGGGTAGAAACTAAGGAGTCACAGTTATAGTTGTATTATTATTCCTACTACAGTTGTAACCTTTTCTGCATAGACACAGTCTTTTCTTTCTGTATAGTTGTACATGGAGTAGTAATGACTTTTGGATTAGACTCTTAAGGTTTCAATTATACTAACAATAAATTTCTGCCTTTATATGTAAGTTGCTTCTGCTTTGCCCATAAAACAAGATATTGAGCATAATGAGTAGCTTCACTAGATCTAAGTCATAAAAATATTACTTGTATTGAAACAGAATCTCTTCCTCAGAGGTTTAATATGACAGACTAAACAATCTCAAGACTTTTGACTCAACACAGCATCAACGGAAGATTCACTGGCATTTGCCAAAATGAAAGGACATCATGAGGTCAATTTTTAGGTGGTATAAGCTGGTTTAGTTCTTTGGTTGTGTGGGAAAAGCAGAGCCCTCATTTCAGGCTGTGTTTCTGGGGCACATGGCTTCCTTGAAAACCTGAGGTGTGGCACCACAGTAAGAGTTACTCTGAGGGTAAAATCTTGCTCCATCTGAATCAGTGGGAATTTTGCCACTCACTCATTTGTACTTGAGGTTTCACCCCAGGGAATTTCACCCAAAAGCAAACTCTTCACTCAAGTCCAGAAGGAAGGAGATCAGAATGGATCACAGTCAAGCTTAAGTCCACTTTTAGGATATCACTACCTTGCCTTGTGCACAGCTGGAACTGAAAGCATGGACATCCTATGAAAATAATATGGTGACACAGAGTAATCTGGACCTGTTGTCTGTGGGATTATCCAGCTATGGTTCAGAGACATAAGTGGGTGCATTAGATCAGCTGATGCTTGTTATAAATATAAAAGAAAAAAAAACCCAACCAAACAAAATGTATCCCAAAAAGCAAAATCCCAAACCAACAAAAACAAGAAAAAACCAACCAACCAAACAAAAAAACCCACAAACAAAAAACCAAAACCAAAACCAATGAACAACTGAAAAAACAAAAACAAAACCATGGAAAAAAAGCCAACAAGAGGCATATCATTACACGCACCTGTTATTAAGAAAATGCAACATTATTAGAGTTATGACTAACTGGAATGCTTGGAAGAGATTTACCACAACAGAAAAAAATCAATTAGGTATGGATGTATACCATATATATACATCTTACTAATTTCCTTTAGGTTGCTCACTCAACCTGAAGTTGAGTGAGCAACTTTTAATTAAGCTTCAGGTTAAAATATGTATATTTGAGTACATGTATATGAGGACATCTTATAATGTTGACCATAAACATATTTTAGTTCCCATATGAAATGTATCAGGAAGGTTGCTGGCCTATTTCAGTCAAGGTACATCACGTAAAGATGTAAGTCCGTAAACCAAGACTGAAGAGAGTATGGGTGACCTCTTCAACCTGGGTACTCTTCACACACCCAAGGAAAGTTCTCCTGTTGTCCTTGGGATAACCAGTGGTTTGAGATGCCTTCATTCCAGAGAATGTGGCACCATGCAGTGCTCTCTGATTCCTGCTCAAGCACACACATGCCCCACATTGCTTTCGTTGTTTTGTCACATCAGCCTCTGGGTTTGTGCACATAGAGTATGGGCTGCATTTACTCAAACTTAGATTTTCTGAGAAGTTAAATGTCTAGGTCTGAATTATTCACTATTGGATCATTTTATAGTCTGTTGAGAGGCACAGTTATTTCCAGAGGGCAATTCCTCTTCCTGTAAGATCTTTAAGACAAATCAGCCTCTAGAAATGCCTGCTTCTCTTAACTAGGCTTTGAGGGTGACCAGCTCAGACTGAGATGTCTAAAGTTTGCTTACTTAAGGTTAAGCAAGATGCATCCCTCCCAGAGACTGTAGTGGAGCACACAGTGTCTATCAGTTCTTGCCTGTACCTGACTGGAGGGCCATAAAACAATATCAAGTGCTATGTGTGACTTGAGATTGATGATTGTTGTCATTTGGAACACTTTGTATTTTGTATCTATTAAGTTTTAAATTTTATATACTTTTCTGAGGTGGGATAATGACCTCAGAAAATATTTTTTTTTCCAGAGAGGATTCATCTGAATGACTTTTCATCAGAAATTTACAATTTTTGGTGAAATTTTTCAAAGTTTTAAAACATTGGGATAATTATAAGAAAATAAATTCTAAATAAGGTATATATTATGTTAGAACCATTTCCCACAATATAAAAAAACACTCAAGCATCTCAGCCATTCTGTGAAAACAGATCCCTATGATCACTTAGAATTTTAAAACATTATTTTAATTACTTTTTAAATTGCCTTTTTGTTTTTAAATGAACACATGAAAGCTTTCATTTCATTTCATACTCTAACCCCCCCAATTAACTGCATTAAAGTAAGCACTCAAACCTTCACAAACAGTTGTTCTAATAACATTTTATTAGCAAAATATTAAATTTTGACAAATTTACTATGAAGTCTCTTGCATCAGACAGAGGATAATATCCATCAGTAAGCTAAATGCCATAAAATCATCTTTAAATGCAACACTAAGCTTAACAGAGTGGGAAAACATAATCTCTGATTGGGAAGTTCATTTTATGAAGTAATTCAGGAAAGAGGAGCTGAGCTCTGGAGTAACCTCGGGACCACTGCTTCCCTGCCAGATGGAAAATCTCAGGGATGACACATTTGCTCCTGAGGGGAAGGATGCAGCCCCTTTGGCAGCCCGCCCACTCCACACCAACTGCATCAGCCTTGGAGGAGGTTATGCTCCCATCCTCCCTGCAGAGGAAAGGCTGATTCGGGGGGAAATGGAGGGAAAACCTCCAGGCTGTGCTTGTGCACAGGGGCAGGCAGCAGACTGACAGGGGCCGGGCTGCTGAGGCTCCCAGGTGGAGCAGGTGATTCCAGCAGGCACATGCACATGGAAACATCACAGAATCATGGAATGGGTGGGTTGGAAGGGACCTTGAGGATCATCTCATTCCAGTCCCCCTGCCACAGGCACAGACACCTTCCACTAGACCAGCTCTCACACATACACATATGAACACAGACACACAGATCACGTTTTTAATGCTGCATTTGTCTTTCCCAGAAGAGCTTTTTGTTTCTTTCCTTGTTGTTGCTGCCCTTCCAACCATGTAATCAGGGGTAGCCCTTGGACTTCAGTGTGACCAATCTCAGACACTGTAAGTCCAAGTGCCATGTGCACCTTGGGGCCACACAGCTCCTCTTGGTATCCAGTCATGACTCCAGAATGAATGACAGTAGTGGGGAGCCAAGGATTTCAAAAAGTACAATATCTGGTACCAAATCCAAAGGTTATGTCTGGAAGTGTAGACAGGCATTCATGAGTTTCATTAGCTCACAGCATCTCTGGTCTGGCTCCTGGGCTGTAAATTCACGTGCAGCTGGAGGGTATTTGTTGTGCCACTGGAGTCTTCTGGTGTATCTGATGTAGAAGAATCTTTTTATTTATTTATTTATTTAGCTCAATTTTTTTCCATACAAAACAAAGCACAGTAAATTGAGACAACTGATAAACTCACTTCAGCTGTGACAGAAAGGTGACTGTAGACACACTTTCAATCAGAGGAAATGAAACCAGAAATCACTCTCTAATTTTAAAAATAAGAGAGAGACAGGTATAGAGAGCATGGAATTAGGCATATAGGAGCACATTTTATGCATTCCTGATGTTAGATTTAGTCCAAAGAAAATATAAACTGTGCATAATGTGTTGGATGGACCTACCCCTACCAACACCTCACACTGCCTGCTGGCAGATGCTGTATGAGGCAGAGGCAGCCAAATCTGTCCCTCGGATCCAATTCTGTCCTGGAGGGTGCTCTGGATCCAAACATCCCCAGAAGTGTGCACATGTCTTGTTTTGGGGAAATCTAGAAGGTTCATGCCAAACTAAACTGGAACTGGACTAATGTGGATGATTAGAGGACAGAACTTGGAAATGAGATGGGGAATTGTGATTTGAGGGGATACATGTACCTGATGGAGCCATTACTCTTTGGGGGAAAAAAAAAAAGTTACTTATTCACTAACAAACAAAAGCTCATTTCTGTTGGAGAGCTAGTCCTAGCATAGTGTGTATTTATTTACTTTATTTTTTTTACTTTCAAGGTAGAAGTACTTAATCTTGTGTATTTATTAAGCCAAATATTACAGCAATTTCAGTTCAATTGCAGTTAGCAATGGGTTCCATATTAGTTCACAAACAAGGAATGGTATTTGTAAAATAGCATAGTTTAGGCTTCCTGAACCAACAAAAATTGTGGACCAAGCCTATTATGAAGGCATGCAGGAAAGTTAATCAAATAAATGTGGAATGTAAGTTTGCCTAACCTGCAGGTTGATAAACGCCATATGGGTGCTCTTACAGAGGAATAAAATTGCTTTCATTTTTTTTAGCTTAATTCTGTTTAAATTGCTGCAAGCTCCAGTCTCTTTATTCTGAGTGAAAACACATGTCCCAGGAGTTTAACGTGCTTGAACTTATGCCTATTAACTTCACCACTTGATTATCCATAACTTTCCCAAGTCTCCCCACCCAAACTTGCTGTTAAAACAAGTTATTGTTCCTACTTTCACACAAAGTGTTTAAGCAGGCACAGCACCGTGCTCCACACCAGCTGCACTTCAGCCGTGTGGGGCCCTCCAATGTGTGCCTTTGCCCACGTTTGCAAGTGTTCAAAGAAGTTAAACTCCCAAAGGGAGTCAGAAAGAGAACTAATTGGGAATCTTTAGAGAAATCTGGCCCCTTTCTATGCACTTTTTCTGAATTTGTCCCATGGGCACTGGACCCACTTCTTTCTCTTATATGTAATGCAGGGATGGCAATGCACATCCAAGAGGACCATGGCAGAATAAAGTTGCTGTCAAGCCTTAGTAAGAATGCTGCTTTCTGGTCCTCACCTTCTACCAAATTCCTCAGGAAGAGAAGCTGCAAGTTATTCTTTTGCACTTTACTTGCAAATGCCCTTCACCATTCCAGTACTTCTCGATGTACTGTTGCTGATTTAACTTTAATGTTCAGCATTGCATTATATTTCTTAGCATTTAAAAATATGAGAAGTAGTAAAAAGAAAAAACAAATAAAGTAAAGCAGATCAGCAATAAATACAAGCTAATTCATGGCTGAGGTTCCAGAGTTTTGCCCAAACTGTCTGGCATATGTTTCATGTACAGGATGACAAGAAACTTCTCACAACAACTATTTCATTAGTGTGCTCCTAAATAGGGCAAGAATATTCAGAAGATGTGCATCACCACTAAATAATTCAATCATTGCAGGTCTTGTTCTATGGAGCATGAAAGCAATACTGCCTTGATCTATTTTGGTGGCTCCCCACCCGTGGCAGGAGTGCCCCTGGCATCACACAAACCACTTCCAAGGCCACGGCCAAGGCACCTCCCCCTTCCTGTATGGATGCTAATTTGAATTGCCCAGGAACAGCCTGTTCACAGGCCATAACTAGCAGCTGTTTATGCAGGCATCCAGCCTGTGCCTCACTCAGGCCACCACTGCCTCCTGCCCTGGCTGGCCCCGGGCTCCAGCACTGCTGACTGTCTGCAGACAAGTGGGCTTGAGAGATGGAGGCAGTGGGAAGGGTGGGCTGTGAAGCTGATGCCCCAGTGTCAGAGTACGTGCTTGGAGGAGATGTGAACAGCAGGGGTAGAGACAATATTCAGTGTCACCACCAATGATGTCACTCTGTTTTGGATGTGAGCAGCCCAACTCTACAGCAACGATTTCAGTGTGTCTATGAGTGACAGCTTAGAAAATAATTTGGAAATGAATGATAAAATTCATAACTCTCTGTGACTCTGGTTAATAGACAGCTCCTTATTTTCATTGTTTTTAAAGGAAGTTTTACATTCTCTGTGTAATCTAGATGAGAAAAGTGCAAACCTACCTCCTTTGGATGAAAAAAGTCTAAGCTTCATGGATACTGTTGCTATATACATCTTCATAACTCTGTAACTGGACTCTAGATTCCCCATGAAAATAGGTCTTGGAGGAGAAAATCTGATCTTTTTGGAAACTCTAGAACTAAATTGAGAAAAATATATTATATTAAAATTACATCAAGAATTATAGAATACAAGAATTATGTCAATAAAATCCCAAAGTGATTTATCTTTTGCTAAATGATACCCTAAATTTTAATACTAAACTTTGCATCTCCGAGTAAGTTTAGATTATTTAATATGACCATATGAAAAATCTTAAACTATGCCAAAATTTTGTGGTTGACCTCAAATTCAACTTCTAAGGAGAAGCAAATATATAGGGAACTTATGCAAGAAAACATGCACACACTTTTGGAACACTCTATAACCAAGAGTCTATGAGAAAAGGAAAATATGTAAAAAAGTGGAGGCAGCTGAGACAAAGCATCAAGAGTTAAAAATATTTAGCTGATACTAAATATTTTTTAAAAAGAGGGTTCAGAAGTGTTGCCTATCTTACTCTGGTATTTTTAGATTTCTTTACACTTCTGATGATCTGAAAAACTTAAAAACTTAGTATTATTTGGAAAGCACACTTACTAGCTTATTAATGTATCCTTGCTGCATATTGTAACTGATATATTGGGCATGCCAGGGCAGCAGCCTCTCCCCTCCCTCTCTGTTCACCACAATGTCAGGGCATCCTCCTGTGGACACAGCATTTTGTTGATTTTTTGCTGTACCAAACCTTGTGAGATAAAAATCTCCAGGTGCTGTGGGACAGTCTTTTGGGATCATCTCTGGGAGTTGTGGGCTTTATTTTGGAAATGTCAAAAGGGAAAAAGAGCCTTGAGGCTACGGGGCTGCGCCAGGACTCTCGGGCTGCCAGCTGTGCAAGGCCCTTAGCTTGCTTAGCCCTTCTGTGCCAAATTTTTGACCTCCACAAGAAGAGGAATATAAATATTTCAGATGGAAATATTACACTTTTCCTTGTTTTAATACTCACACTGCTTGAGACCCCTGAGTGAGGGATGCCATATAAATATGAAAGCAGTTACAAGTGGCTTTGTCAAGCACCAGGACAAATAGAGTGGAAGAGCTTAAAAGGCCAATCCCAAGTATGCACACATGAGTGCATGCAGGAAAGGAAAACCTCAGCTTGCTCAAGACATCCATGCACTTCTTGAGAGTTAATGTAAATAAATGGAATTGCCTGTATGAATATCATGAAGCAATATAGGCTGGAAACAATTAAATGAGTCTGCCTACTCTATTCTGTGGCAGAAACATAAACTACATGCTGTTTGCATTCAAATGTCACATCAAAAGATTAGGTGCATAAATTTGGATATGGGGTTTTGAAAAAATGCTTCTGGAGTACAGGAATATTAATCCACTGGTCAATCCTTCCCCAATGTAGCATGTTAAAAGATTAACTTCTCTTTAGTACCAATTTCCTATTGAATATATTATTGAAAAATGCTAATTTTATGCAATTTTTAACTCTTGTGTATGAGTGACTTACATTGCAAAAGTACACAATCCTGTTTTTCAGTCTGACATAGTTTTCTCTGATGCTTTGAGCTCCTCTATGTAGTCACTTGACTACAAATTATAACACACTTGACTTTTAATATCTAAAGGATAGCTTGAGATATTTTTAAGCTTTATTCCAAGTGTGCACACGCTGGATTAATATAAGTGGAAAACTAACTTTCAAAAAACTCCAGTGTTTTCTCACCATAAGTGTTCTTTTTCTTTTATTTTTTCTGAAAATAAAAGAAGAGAATAATATACAATCTTGTGGTTACATGACTGTATTTCCACAGGTTTTGATAAGTTTTTCTGTTGCAGTTGTTACTTTAGAAAGAGCTAATATGACTGACAGAGTAGAACAAATTATCCTAGAACTACATATCTTTTTGTGGGCAGAGATGCCATGATGAAAGAATAACAAAATTGAAATATGATACAACTTTCAAAAACATGAAAAAACCCATTGCTCTTCTCTTTGACAAGCTTGTCACAAAGGTGAGACTAAAACAAACCTCCAGATACTCGATATTAATAGGTAGTGATGAACAACAAGGTTCCTGCTCTCCCCTCATGTGCCAGGGTGTGCAGGGGAAAGCAGTCTACCCTACCTAAGTCACTACATTGAATTCTCTTCCATATACTTAACACTCACTTGCTTGTGCTTTGAAGTTAATGGAGTTATTCTGAAGTTAATTGGGTTTAACTCAGAGGAAAATTGGACCCACTAGAATGATACAAAATACAAAAGGCTTTGGAAGCCAGCCTGCATTGCTGGTCAGAGATTAACAGTGCAGCAGAAGAGGACCTCTCAGAAAACAAGAAAGACAGGAGTCTGATGCAGAGGAAACTTGCCCACTCTTTTGAATTGGCAGCTGTATCACATACTGTAGTGGGGAGACACTCAGCACCACTCTCCACCAGTTCCAATCAATTTTCTCCTTGGTTCTTCACTACAAAAGTATGTGTATGATGTAGGATGAATAAAAGAGAACTGTCAGAGGGGTTAGCACAGGTCTGGGACAATGCTTACAGGGATCAAAATTAGTTAATCATATCTAATGTCTTGAAATTATACATGCAACTGTGCTGAAAAAAAATAGATCCAGAAAATACATTTTATCTCATGTTGTTTAAAAATCTGTTCCCAAATTAAAAGGCAACATCACTTCTAGCTTCTCACAGTAACATTGGATCAGTTGGTCAAAATAGTTTCTGTGATCTCAAACCAAGAGTGGTGCCACCAGCTATACCCTAAATTTCTTCCATGGTTACTGAGTGCATTTGCATAGTAATTGCATTTACAGTACAGTATGCAAGCCCACATAAAGTGCCCCAAATAAAATTAATTCCTAAGACTTTTATATCCTTCAAATAAATGCATATTAACCAGCAAGGTTTTATCTTTCCCATACTGAGTCATTTCCTTCTTCAGCAAATGATCACTGTGTAACCCATTGACTTTCTCCATGACTACTGGCAGCTGTAAGAAAGATTTCTTGCACTAACAATAAGACAGGTGCCATGCAAATTGGGATACATTAATGTTGCTCTATACATATATATACACATATCTATAGAGAATTTAATCTATAATTACTGAAGATGGTGATGGCAATTTTCTGCAGAGTGCAGGAGGAAGTGTCAGATGTAAAACCTGCTCAACATTTTCCCCTGTTGAGCTGTTACTTTCTCTCTCCTGGACTGAAAGGAAAAAATGGGCACTTGGTAATTTTTCAAATACACCACACTGAGTTCATGTTAGATTCATTGCTAGCATTGCCAGCAGGGCAATGCTTTCCTTCTAATATGAGCTATGAACAAAGGACACACTTTTTTGGCTGTGCACGTTCTTGCTTGGCAAATAACTGATGCTGGTTGCCAAAAGTCTCTCATGGAAACAAAGACACATCGTGGTCATTTAGGCCATAATGGCCATTTGAGCCATCTCTGAAGGCTGGAGAAGCAGTTGCACTTCCTTCTCTATAGACCTTGCCTGTGAAATTACACAAGCAGATTTTCTCTTCTGTTTGACACCTGCGTGTGACTGCTACCCTGCTACAGCTGCAGGTCCAAGTACCTGCAGACATAAACCAAGAGGGTTTAGTGGGCAAGCAAGGACTGCAAAGGCTTTTGTCCCTCCCTGCATCACCAGCTGGCATAGCATGTCACCCATGCCAAATGACCAGATCTGGTCAGGTGGCCATGGAGGTAGATTGAAACCAAAATGTTGATTTCACATAAGGGCTTCAGGGAGGGTTTTTAGCTGTGGAATCACCATGGGCCTTTCTGACTTTTCTATTTCTATTGGTTTTCCATTAGTCAAGACTGATGGAACAATATTTTTCCAGGTAATGGTAGGAGACCCAGTCCATGGCTGCCATATGCTGACATAGTTCTGAACATTGTTGACTTCCAGAGTGGACAGATGTAATCCAGTCAGCTGAGAAACAACCTCAGCTCTGGAGTGGAAAATGTAAAATTCAGGCTGGTTCAAGAGACAGCAGCTGACCTGCAATGAGAATGAAAGTGGGCAAATAAATCATTGTGATGTCTGCAGACTCCGACCTGACCTTCATCAGTCCCAACAGACTCATTCCAGATTATTTGCAAGATGACTTATTTCTAAAAAGCCATATGGCCACATTTGCACAGTAGGAATTCACATCAGCACAATGCATTATGCAAACTCGGATACAAACCCTGTGCTCAGATGCAGGGCAGGTCTTAAATTGGATGCTGCTTAATTTTGGGTATGAAACCATATATGCTGCAGCAGTGCAAATGTTAATATGCACCTCTGCTATGTATCTGCTGCTGAAAGACTATTTGAACAAATCTGAATATGCTAATGCAGTGTTCTCCATGCTGTTCAACATCACAAGAGGATGTTTTCCCAGGGTTCTCTGGGATTCACTCCTTCGAGAGACCAGAAGTCTCACAGTTATCAATGCTCTCTGGCTAAAATGCAGGACTCCTCTCTGTCAATGCTTTCCCACTGTAATAACTTTAATAATAGTAATAAAGCTACATGAATTGTGTGCCTTTTCCTCCTTCCCATGTTGAGCAAGAAGAGAACCAAAAATCTATATAAATTAGGTTATATGGTAGGCTCATTTAATTCTCTGGAATGCTCAGAATACTATGGAGAAGAGCACAATGGAAATGCCTTGGAAAATGAGATTAGATAGCTGTGATACCTAGGTGTCACTGGGATATAATAAGAGGGATTTTTTAATTGGGGTGGTTAAAGGAATCTGAAATGAGATCATGGTGTGCATTTTCTCTGAGCAATTATTAAAATTGCAGTTGAGATCTCTGCCAAAGTTTTTGATCTGTGACTCCCATGTCCTGACTTCCCACTGCTCATCCTTGGACAATTACAGAAACAAAAGCTTCTGGAGACCTCAGGACTGGGGCAGCACCATGATTACCATCAGACTGTGTGGATTGGAGGATGGGCCTTTCTGTTGGGACTTTGAGGCTCTGAAGGTAGAGGGGGCTAAGAAATGAGAGTAAATAGTTTCATTTGTAGTGTGCTATTGACTATTTATCCTCATCCTACTGCTTTTTCAAGCACAGGTATGGAGGGGCAGGGAAAGGAAGCTGTTGTGATACTTCCAGTTGATTCTAAACTCTTTTGAGACAGAGCTTAGATTACCTTCCCAGGTCACCTCCAGAGCACTCCTTTGGGATTTATGACACCTTCAGGACATCCTTGCCCTTTGGTTGCCAAAGTACGGGGATTGAGAGACCTGATGGAGACTGTCCAGCCCAGGCTTCTCCTACTGGATGCTGCTTTCAAGACATAGTAGAGCAGAGCATGAATCAAGACATGGAAAGCAATGCCAGAGCCTGTGGTATGAATGCAGGTTCCATCCTTAATTCCCTAGGAGAAAATCTATCTAGATCCTGGAATATTTCCAGGCATAATAACACTCAAATGTTGCCCAGCACAGCTAACACCTCCCAGACAAGTCCCAAGCTCTATTAGGGTGTTGACATGGCCAGGAACCGTTCAAAGAATGCTGACTACATGCAGCCACTTGGTTTTGCAGGTAAAGGCTATTTAATGCTATGGACATAGGCCACTCTGTGGTGGCTGAGACCAATGCTTGAGAATGAGCCACTACTAATCCAGCAGAGCTCAATTCATTAGCTCTAGTACAACAAGGAACAAGAAAAATAACAACAAAAAGCCTTTGTTGAGCACTTGGGCCTGTTTTGGGAGGAGCTTTCTTTCTTCTCTGAATAATTAGTTTAGCTACTTATCCTTGGCTGAATTCCTACTGAGTCACTTTAGGTATTTCAAATACACCCTCTCCAATCTACCTGCCTTTTAAAAAGAGCTTTTTTTTCTAAAATCTGTCCATGTTTTGGAGTTCTTAGTATTGACAATATTCACATTTTCTCATTTTTTTCCTCACATTTTTAATACTCTGCCATATCTTCTGACTTCACTCTTTCTAACCCTCCCTACCCTTAATTCTACCTGTACCTACTGATTGATCCATACTAATATATATTTTAATTTCTTCTTATGCTTCCTGGTTTCCCCAGTTTCTTGTAACATTTTCTTCTGATTACTGTATTGCTTTCTGTAGTGTATTGCTTTCTGTAGTGTATTGCTTCCTGTGTATCGTATTGCTTCCCTGTCACTCCTTTCATAATGCCACCTTTTCATCTTGACCCCTCATTCTTTTCCATACTGATACATTTCCTTCATTATTACAGCTATTTAATACTAGAAAAGTTTTGCAGAAATATTCCTTGTCCTTTCCTCTGATAATAGCAACAGTCCTTTTCCTTATCATTGTTTCCTATGCTTTAACCAGGTCTGGCTGTAAACAGAAAAGAACCATAAGAAGATGATAGTATAAAAAGGTCCAAACCATAATAATGATGTGATATATAAATGCTGTGTGGTATATAGGTCTAACAAGTTCTCTGGTGAAAATCCATCTGCAGACATTCTCTTGGTTTGGCCATTAGACTCCCAAAAATTCCCATTGATTTCAATGTGACACCATATGGACAAACCTTTAGGTCTATGTACCATCCAAACAGACCTCCAGGAAGAATTTGGAGTCTGGGGAGGACAACTCACAGTAGAGGACCTTAGGTCATAAATTTATCTGTAAACATGAAGCTGCATGCATTAAATCTCAAATAACTTCTAATCATAGCTTTATCAGGGCATATCAGAGCATATTTAATTGTAACACCAATAAGCTGCTGCACGCTAGGAATATTTGAAAATATGTGAGTTTTTTCCTTCTCCTGTAAAGTGCATTTGAAAGCAACAAATGCTTCTTGAAATTCAGGACAATTTCCACAGAAATAATTTTTCGGGAAAGTTGTAAGGTATGAGAAATAAAGCAGACCTGTCAAGTTTCCCTCGTCAGTAGGAGCCAAATTATTGCTGTCCAGTTCATCCACAAAAGCTGGCTGATATGAAGTCTTCTGGCACTAGAAGATTTATATTGTCTTTAATTTTTTCAGAATAAATACTCTCCAAGCAGGATGAAGCCCGCACAGCACGAACAAAGAACATGCTATATTTAAGAGGTCATGTCTGACTTTGAACATATGGTAACGATTCTTGAAGTCAGAAATAAAATAAAATACTTGTAATATGGCATGTAATACTTTCTGTACTCCACCAAATTACCAGGGAAACAGATTGTGCTTTTCTGAGTATACTGACAAATGTCCCTCCTCATTATAATTTTGCCCTTTTTGTATTACCATATCATTATTCTTTTTCTTCTGTACTCCAGTGTGCAATTTAGATGACTGCATTCTTTGGCAACATTAAATATTTTCAGGATTGCTTAGAAAATTATCAGATATTTATTATTCTTCAATATGAATTCATCAGAAATATATACCTCAAGGGGACCCACCCATTGCATTTAGCCAAACCAGCCAACCATTCCAAAGGCAATAAAATAGCATTTATCACCAGGAATAAACTCTGACATTTCCTTCTAATGAGGTTTCCAAGCTGAATCTTGTTGGCAGCCATTTTACATTTGTGATGCTAATAATGTGGGGACCTGAGTAGGAACCTGATGTTAATAATTAGTTGCTGTTTTATTTTATAATCTTTTTCTGTATGATTTTAGCACAGAAGCATACTTCCCTTGGGTTTCTCATTGTTTGGGGCAGGGCATTGGTGTGGCAGTAGCAGAGGTGCAGCCTTAGCCAAGCTGATGAACAAACAGGATCCATGAGCTCGTGCCTGACAAGCAGAAAATGAGAAGGCCCATGTAGCACAACCTATGTGTATTTATTTTCACAAAGGAACAGAAAGCTGTTCTTTGAGATGGCAGCTCCCCACATAGCTCCAACTCAGTGCTCCTGACAAACCCTCTGCCTCTGCAGGGACATACCTGTTGCCCCTCTGCCACTGGCTTGCACATTCCTCATGTCAGCATCGCTCTTTCCCATCTTTGTTATGAAGCAGCACCAGCTGGGAGAAACCATGAGCTGCAGAAAGGCAAGGGCCTTCCACATTTCCAGACATTCCTCTTCTTTTCAGTGACAAAAGGAACCAGCAACTTGACTCCACATGGAAGGAGATGAGAAATGGATACAGTTTGGGCCAGAGAAAACATGATCAGAGGAAAGATAGTTCCCACCACCACAGGAAAGGTTGGGAGAATTTCTTTGGCAGGAATCAATACAGGAGAACATGTCAGATGGTTGGGGTGGTCCCTCCTGGTAGTCAAAACCTATTAAACCTTTGCACATCCCCCCAAACCTGGGAAAGGAAGAGGTCTCAGCAAGCAATTAATTGAGTCCACTGATTGAGAGAGGAAGTGGCACTCATGTTGTGTGGTTTCTTTTTTTTTTATTTTAAATGAAGAAACCTAATTAAAATTATAAGAATTTCCTGGGGAAATTCTCAGCCTCTTCATTTTTTAAGAGCCTTTGTATTACAAAAGGTGTTTGAAGTCCTTGAATTTTTACCCCTTAGCCACCTTTAATCTAATTTTTAATCTCTTAATAGCCTTAATTGAGTTCTGAATACTTTAAATTATTAAACATCTTTGGGGGATTATGATTTCTATTTCTGATTATACAAAATAGTATCAATTGCCCAACAACATCCCCCCCACCATTTATATCAAATTAAACTACCAGGGATGTAAGGCACATACTTCAAGGCCAGGATATTTGCATTGGAAATATTTAAAAAGACTTGTGCTTTCAAGCAGGTTGAAGAAGATGAGTGGTAAGAAATGAGGGAGATCCCGATGTAGGTCCCCAATCATTGGAGGCTCATTGTCTTTTTGTCCCCTTTGCTGTACAGGTAGAGGCTGCCCATGGCCACGACCAAGCAGTGCCACCTGCCAGGGGCATGGGCCATGCAGGCCCCTGAGGCACAGGCAAGAGAGCCACCTGCTCTTCTCAGCTGGGATGGGCCTCCTTCCCACCCCTATGCTCCACTGCCAGGGACAAATGCTCAGATTTGCACCCCAGTCTAATTCAGCGTGGGTCTTCAAGTGCATCTAAGCCCCTTTGCTCCTCTAAACTTTCTAATCTTCCTTATCTTATCAATGTCTACCCTTCTCAGAGGCTTACTACCTTACTGTGCCTCTGATCATGAGCATTTTTCTTCCTCCTCTGCTTGCCCCTGCTCCTGGAACCAAGGCTATTTGTTATTTCCCTCCTCCCAAAGCTTGGAAGATGCCAGCCCTGGCAGAGCAGCAATCCTCATCCTGCTGAGGCACCAGCTCAGGCACTCCTCTGAAGGGAAAAAGGCTCTGGGGAACAGAGGACAGGCAGCAGGCTCCCCTCAAGGAGAAGAGCAACTTGCTTTACACCTTGCTGCAAGATGTGGAATAAAATGTTCTCTAAAATGCAGATATGGCATCCAAACCAGGTATTTGTAGCATGAGCTAGTACCAGTGGAAAAGATCGATTCTTATATAAAATAAAGCCTCATTTGTAAAAATAAGGAATTATTTGCTATCAAAACACAAACTTTATTAATGTGGAGAAAGTATTAGTTTCTTTTCCACTTTGCTTGCTTTTGCTTTTTTAAATTTTACTCCAACTGTTTTTATTAGATCTGAGCTTTAGTTACTGTTAATTTGTCTCCACTTGTTTTCATCTCCCACCTAAGAAAGAGCTTTAATATCCAGCACCAGAAACAACATATTTTGAGAGCTCAATTTGTTTCTCTAACTTCAGGGAAAGATTTCATTTCTGAGCATCTTGCATTTTTTCTAGACACTCTAGCAAAAAGTCCATGAAGTTTCTGAGGCACCTCAGAACTCATCACTGATACCCACTGTAGAGTCTGACTTTATATACATAAAACAAATGACTATTCAGTCTGCTATTGTTAAAACCTGGATCTAGCTGCCACCATTATTCAAGATGAACAGTGCTCTACTTCAGTTGTCCTATTGATGAAATATGCACAAAATGTACATTATTGGACAGACTTGAACTATTTACTGGTATTATTTTCAAATCTGCATTGCTGTAGCAGCTATGATAGCCAGCTGAGCTCTAGGGAGGTTGTTTTTTTGATAATGTACCATGCCAGAAAAAGCAGTATCTTCTGTGAGCTTGCAGTCTGAGGTGCTGATCCATGAGGCGTGTGTGCTCAAACTTAGCTGCTGAAGCTGTCCATCAGTATCTGTGGCTGCTCAGAGAATAGATACCTAAGCATATATGTAGTTTTATATTTCTGAGTTCAGACTGACAGTTCAATTTTAAACTTATTCCTGTTCTTTTATTTTTTTTTTTAAATATTGAGTTTTATTGAGTACCTTCTTTAACATTTACTACCTAATAAATGCTTTCTTAACAGGAACATGTATATTTAGACATATTTTTGAACATAATAATTTTTATGCACTATATGGATCAGAGTAATTCTAAAACATAAGTTAAGACATAATTCTGTAGCTCAGTGTCTCTGCAGGAGACTATCCCATGTGCTTTATGTAAAAGGCCTGACTCATGCAAGTGTGATAGCAAGATGAAGGCCACTAAACTGAAAGATGAAAACATCTAAAAGACATTGGTTAAGGCATTTTGGCTGAAACACTTTAGTTTTGGAAGGTCAGCAGAAAAAGTCATTCAGCTCTCCTTCTTACCCTAGAAAGAGAGAACAATAATAAAATCAGGCAGAAATAAATTTAGAGCAAATTAAAAAAATACTTTTATGTAGCACATGTCCTGACTATAGAATTCATTGCTGTAATAGGTCACCAAGTTAAATAGCATGGATGGATAATTTTATCATTACTCCTGAGCCAAGTCCTCCCTACCATAGCAAAGCCAACAATCTTCAGTGAAACTGAACCAAGATCTAAGTAAAACAGTGGGATTTACCCCAGTATTTATGACATGGCTATACTCTGTGAGAAGAACAATAAAGGTAATTAGAATCCATGCTCAGCACTTCATCTGTTTACTGAAGTGGAAGAGTGGACTCCCTTTTACCACCCCATAATTTGATAAAACCTCCATAAAGGGGTTTTAAAAGTAATATACACTGACCATGGGGACAGTCTTGGGTCACAGATGCTTTACTGAAAAACTTGCTGCAGCTACAAATTACACTGGCAAGCTATAGGAAACCCAGGGCATGCATAATTATGTATTATAGGACTACATACATACATATGTACTGAGAACCTACCTCCCCGGTCCTCTCCTACAAGGAATGTTTCAGCCCAATAAGAATTGCACAATGACGTTATAAATTACGCCAGGCTTCAGTCTGATCTTGCATATTGAGGCTTTTAAACCTTTCAAACTACTGGTTTCTAATTAATAGTATGACATGCTCTTTCAACAACAATAACTCAGTATATAAGGATCCTGCATACCTTTCAAACTTTTCACAAGGAAAAGTCAGCCTTAGTTTGCGAGTGAGTTTATTGTTTCTGTGGCTTTAAGTAACACAACCTCTTTAGAAGCAGACGGCCTCGTCATCGTGCTGGCAGGAATGTGACACAGGAGACACGAGTCTAGAGCTAAATTCGAGGAAAATTACAGTGTGCAAGCCCCAGTTTTCAGTGAAAAGATTCTTCTCAAAGATAAATAAGTACAATCTTTAAAGTGAGAGCCAAGTC